TTGCCTGGGAGGCGTGTTGCTTGCTTTGATGCTTGGCTGAATCACTTTTTGTGGAGAACGGAAGAGCCTGCTGCATCTCTCATCATCAACGACTGTTGCAACCTCCATCAGTCTCTTATCAGGAGCAAGGTAGTCTGCAGCATTGGAATAGGTCCCTGTAGCCGTGGACTTTTCTATTAGTAGATATATAATGTTCTTTAGGTTTTTGTATTATATGAATATGTATAAGATACACTAGGGTCTCTATTGTATCTAAATCAATATATGAAGACGGAAGTGCATATTAGTAGAGTGTGTTTTGTTCTAACATGGTGTTTCTTTACGTTTGCCCACCCGGAGGGTGGCAACTGGCTGTTGTGCCTCAGTTGGAAAGCAAGCAGGGCTTCTGAATTCAACAGATACCTGCTGGTTTGCTCCTGGGGGGGCAGATGCTGCCCTCCATGTTGCTTCACGGGTGGGAGTGAGTCCAGGGCTATTTTTGGGCAGGAACGCACAGAAACAGAGTTCCGGCTGGCTCCCAAATTGGCCACGCCCAGCAGGAACTCATTAGCATAATAGGCCACACCCAACAGCAGGAACTCATTAGGATTGGCTACATTAGGGGTGTGTGGCCTAACATGCAAAGGAGTTCCTGCTTCAAAAAAAGGGCCCTGGGTTTTGACAACAAACATGGTAAACAGAATAAGAAGCAAAAGGGGGTGTGGCTGGATGACCACACTTCTGGTAACACGGGGGTGTGGCCTAATATGCTAATGAGTTTCTGCTGTTGGGTATGGCCTATTATGCTAATGAGTTCCTGCTGGGCTTTTTCTACAAAAAGAGCCCTGGCCCGAGTGGCAGTTGGCCAGTGGGATTTCATGGCTAGGAAGAAACTCCCGTTCTCGGGGGCCCTGTGCTGTCGATACCACAGAAGTCCCCGTCACTTTGAATTCTTTGTATGCGCGTGAATGGGAATCTCGACTATTATTAGTATCGTGTGGGTGCGGGAGTGAGATGAGAAGGAAGGAAGTTTTATGAGCCCGTTTCTGTGAAAGCATAGCAATTTCCTACGGTGCAGATGTTGAAAATGCAGCCCTGGAAATTTAAATTGTCAGTGTGACGAGGGTTGGCCAATAAAAGTTGGAGGCTGGAGATATCCTGGGACTACCAGTTTGGTGCAGTTGTTAGGAACACAGACTCTAATCTGGGAGAACCGAGTTTGATTCCCCCACTCCTTCACATGCAGCTGCTGGGTCAGTCTGACCTTGGGTCAGTCACAAGTTCATTCAGAGCTGTTCTCTCACAAGCAGTTCTCAAGAGAGCTCTCTGAGCCCCACCTACCTCACAGGGTGTGTCTGTTGTGGGGAGGGGAAGGGAAAGGAGATTGTAAGCCACTCTGAGACACCTTTGGATAGTGAAGGGCGGGGTATGAATCCAATCTCTTCTTCTTCATCTTTTACCTCACAGGGTGTCTGTTGTGGGGAGGGGAAGGGAAAGGAGTCTGTAAGCTGCTCTGAGACACCTTTGGGTAGTGAAGGGCGGGGTATAAATCCAATCTCTTCTTCTTCTTCTTTTACCTCACAGGGTGCCTGTTGTGGGGAGGGGAAGGGAAAGGAGATTGTAAGCCACTCTGAGACACCTTTGGATAGTGAAGGGCGGGGTATGAATCCAATCTCTTCTTCTTCATCTTTTACCTCACAGGGTGTCTGTTGTGGGGAGGGGAAGGGAAAGGAGTCTGTAAGCTGCTCTGAGACACCTTTGGGTAGTGAAGGGCGGGGTATAAATCCAATCTCTTCTTCTTCTTCTTTTACCTCACAGGGTGCCTGTTGTGGGGAGGGGAAGGGAAAGGAGATTGTAAACTGCTCTGAAAGTCCTTCGGGCAGTGAAGGGCGGGGTATAAATCCAATCTCCTCCTCCTCCTCCTCCTCCTCCTGCAGCTTACAATCACTTTCCCTTCCTCTCCCCACAATAGGCACCTTGTGAGGTAGGTGGGGCTGAAAGAGTGCTGAGAGAACCATGACCAGTGTTCCCTCTAAGCTGAGTTAGTGTGAGCTAGCTCATAGTCTTTTAGTCTCCGGCTCATACTTTTTTGTCTTAGCTCAGGAAGGACGGCTCCAGAGCAGACTAATTTATGTAGTAGCCAAATCTCTCGCTCACAACTTTAGTGCCAGTAGCTCCCAAAGTAAAATTTTTGCTCACAAGACTCCACAGCTTAGAGGGAGCATTGACCGTGACTGGCCCAAGGTCACCCTGCAGACTTCACGCAGAGGAGGAGCAGGGAGTCACAATCCAGATTACACTCCACCTCCTTTAACCATCACATCACGCTGGATCGACCTGGAGCCATTTTAGGACAGGGAAATGGCATAGAGGGGAGCAAGACTGAAGCACATTCCCCTGTGTGCACACCATGTCCCCCATCAGAACTGAGGCCGTACGTTTCTTGGAAGACGAATTCCCTCGTAGCTGGTGTCTGAGTCAAAACCAGATCAGGGGTGCCCAGACACAAGACATTAAAAACTGGGTTTGTACGTTGCTTGGAATCTCGGAACACATTTTGGGGGGGGATTGATATGGTAAACTCTCCTCTCGTGGATTTCCTCGACTGTAATGGTGGCATTTTTAAGGACTCTTGGAGCCCTTCCTCATAAAACTACAGGGAGAGTCGCGTCGCTAATGTCTGCTTATGCTTATTGACAAAGCAGCGTGGGGACTCGTTGGATCGGGAGGAGGGGACTGGCGAGAGGGTCTCGGGACTGGAGTGGGCGGAGCCTCGGATGTGTGGGAGGAGCATCGGCTACTCCCAGGGTCAGGGAGTCGTTGGGGATGTGTGGTTTCCCCCGTCACTCGCGGTGACTGCAGAAGTTGCATCTTCCGGATGTCTCCCTGAGATGTAGATATGAATGGTATTGTATTAGGCTTGCCAACTCCACGCTGGATATTCCAGGAGATTATGGGGGTGAAGACTGGGAAGGGGGAGGGTTTGGGGAGGGACCTCAGCGAGAAATAGTAACACAGAGTCCATCCTCCAAAGGTAGCCATTTTCCCCCCAGGAGAATTGATCTCTATAATCTAGAGACCGGAGTGACCAAACTTGCTTAACTTAAGAGCCACACAGAATAAACGTCAGATGTTTGAGAGCCACAAGATAGGAACAAACATCACACACACAGTTTTATTGGAAAGTATGCAAATTTGCTTTTTATTAACATTAAGAACATAAGAACATACGAGAGGCCAATGTTGGATCAGGCCAAAGGCCCATCCAGTCCAACACTCTGTGTCACACAGTGGCCAGAAATACCAGGTGCCCTCCGGAGGTCCAGCAGTGCGGCCAGGACACTAGAAGCCCTCCCACTGTTGTCATCCAGTCCAACACTCTGTGTCACACAGTGGCCAGAAATACCAGGTGCCCTCCGGAGGTCCAGCAGTGCGGCCAGGACACTAGAAGCCCTCCCACTGTTGTCATCCAGTCCAACACTCTGTGTCACACAGTGGCCAGAAATACCAGGTGCCCTCAGGAGGTCCACCAGTGGGGCCAGGACATTAGAAGCCATCCCACTGGTGACCCCCCCAAGCACCAAGATGACAGAGCATCACTTGCCCCAGAGTCCCTATCTATACCTTATGGCTAATAGCCACTGATGGACCTCTGCTCCATATGCTTATCTAATTCCCTTTTGAAGCCGTCCATGCTTGTAGCCGCCACCACTTCCTGTGGCAGTGAATTCCATGTGTTAATCACTAAATTAGACTGTGTGAAAGGGCCACATGTGGCTCCGGAGCCACAGTTTGGCCACCCCTGCTCTAGACATTCATGGAGGATAGTTCTATCAGAGGCTACTAGACATGGTGACTGAGGGGAACCTCCTTGTTCAGAGGCAGTCAACCACTGAATCCCAGTGCCAGGAGACAGCATTAGGAGAAGGCCTCGGACTCTGTGCCCCGTTTGTTTGGCCTTCCAGAGGAACTGGGTGGTCAGTGTCTGAGACAGGATGCTGGACTAGATGGACCCTCACTGGTCTGATCCAGCAGGGCTCTTCTGATGTTCTTATGAAGGCCTTGGCCTCTCTGCCCTCTTGTTGGCCCTCCAGAGGAACTGGTTGGCCACTGTGTGAGACAGGATGCTGGACTAGATGGACCACTGGTCTGATCCAGCAGGGCACTTCTGATGTTCTTATGAAGGCCTCGCCCTCTCTGCCCTGTTGTTGGCCCTCCAGAGGAACTGGTTGGCCACTGTGTGAGACAGGATGCTGGACTAGATGGACCACTGGTCTGATCCAGCAGGGCACTTCTGATGTTCTTATGAAGGCCTCGCCCTCTCTGCCCTGTTGTTGGCCCTCCAGAGGAACTGGTTGGCCACTGTGTGAGACAGGATGCTGGACTAGATGGACCACTGGTCTGATCCAGCAGGGCACTTCTGATGTTCTTATGAAGGCCTCGCCCTCTCTGCCCTGTTGTTGGCCCTCCAGAGGAACTGGTTGGCCACTGTGTGAGACAGGATGCTGGACTAGATGGACCACTGGCCTGATCCAGCAGGGCTCTTCTGATATTCTTATGTTCTTAATCTGGAGATCAAACGTGAATCCAGGAGATCTCCAGGCCCCACCTGGAGGTTGGCAACCCTATATCGGACAGGCTCCTTGGAAAGAGGCATTATGTATGTTCTCGGCCCATGTCTCTTGCTATCACCTTCAGAGTCTTTTTTCTGCTGTTTTGACAGGAGTCTGGGTGTTTGTTTATTCCATCTTGGCGTCTCTTCTTTCGAGGGGGCTTCCTTTGTGGCGGTCTTAAGCAGAGATGAAAAGACAGGGATTAGCAATTAAATGGGCTTCCTCTGATGCTGGATTGGCACTTGAAGGAAGGAGAGGGGAGGGAAAAAACACTTTTCCATAATGCATTTTCCTTTTTTTTCTCCTTCCTTCGCTTTAGGATAAGCTTCACCACGGGATCAACACTTTGATAACGCCTGCCGCTCCAGGCCTCCCTTTGTAAGGAATACAAAAATTTCTTTTGTAACCATGTCCAGGACGACAGATATGTGGCGATGGACTTGCCTCATTTCCCCACTTCTCCTCTGTGCTGTGACGTCGCCTTCGGTCAGTCGGCCACCGACGTCCCACCCAAAGAGACCTTTCCTCACCTTCACTGTGGACAAGGCCGACGAGTATTTGAACCACTTGGTGGTAGACGAGAGGAAAGGGCATATTTATGTGGGGGCCGTCAATCGGATCTACAAGCTTTCCGGCAACCTGAAGGTGCTGGTGACTCACGAAACAGGTCCTGATATCGACAACCCCAAATGTTACCCTCCAAGACTGGTCCAGCCCTGTAACGAGCTGTTGACGTCCACCAACAACGTCAACAAAATGCTCCTCATAGACTACAAGGAGAACAGGTTGATCGCCTGCGGTAGTTTGTACCAGGGGATCTGCAAACTCCTGCGGCTGGACGACCTGTTCAAGCTCGGGGAGCCCTTCCACAACAAGGAGCATTACCTCTCCGGGGTCAACGAGAGCGGCTCGGTTTTCGGAGTGATTGTCTCGTACAACAACATGGACGACAAGCTGTTCATTGCCACCGCGGTGGACGGCAAGCCGGAGTACTTCCCTACCATCTCCAGTAGGAAGCTGCCCAAAAATTCGGAGGCGGACGGGATGTTCGCTTATGTCTTCCATGACGAGTTTGTCGCCTCCATGATCAAGATCCCGTCGGACACCTTCACCATCATCCCCGACTTTGACATCTACTACATCTACGGCTTCAGCAGCGGTAATTTTGTCTACTTTCTGACTCTCCAGCCTGAGATGATTTCTCCGCCTGGTTCCACCACTAAGGAACAGGTCTACACCTCAAAGCTGGTTCGCCTCTGCAAGGAGGACACGGCGTTCAACTCGTATGTCGAGGTACCTATCGGCTGTGAGAAGAACGGAGTGGAATACCGATTGCTCCAGGCGGCGTATTTGTCCAAGGCGGGGTCCATCCTGGCCAGGTCTTTGGGTATCCGGCCGGAGGACAACATCCTCTTTGCCATTTTCTCCAAGGGACAGAAGAGGAAAATGAAGTCCTTGGACGAGTCAGCACTGTGCATATTTGTCCTGAAGAACATCAACGATCGTATCAAGGAGAGGTTGCAGTCCTGCTATAGGGGCGAAGGGACACTGGATCTGGCCTGGCTTAAAGTGAAGGACATTTCCTGTAGCAGTGCGGTAAGTCCAGATTCTGGCTAGAAATACCCAGATATTCTGTCTGCTTGCTTTCTTGCATGAACGACCCCGGGTAGGGTCTTTCAAAGCGTCGTTTGGGGGAACTCTAAGTTTGGTGGAGAGCCAATTTGGTGTAGTGATTAAGAGCGCAGACTCTAATCTGGGAGAACTGGATTCGATTCCCCACTCCTCCACCTGCAGCTGTTGGTGTGACCTCGGGTCAGTTACAAGTTCTCTCAGAGCTGTTCTCTCAAGGGCAGTTCTCAAGAGAGCTCTCTCGGCTCCACCTACCTCACAGTGTGTCTATTGTGGGGAGGGGAAGGGAAAGGAGATTGCGAGCCACTCTGAGACTCCTTTGGGTAGTGAAGGGCGGGGTATAAATCCAACCTCTTCTCTCTCCTCTTCTCTGAGGCTTCTTGGTGGTGGAAAGCGCTGTTAAGTTGCAGCCGACTAATGGCTACCCTGTAGGGTTCGCAAGGCAAGAGAGATTCAGAGGTGGTTTGCTGTTCTGAAACTCCTTCGGGTAGTGGAGGGCAGGGTATAAATCCAATCTCCTCCTCCTCCTCCTCCTCCTCCTCTTCTCTGTCTGCATCTGAAACTGAGTCTTTCACTAGTTGTAAAATATTTTACATGTGTTTTGGTATGCTTTGTTGATGCAAGACTATTTGGTTCTTTTTAACCACAAATGTATGTTTCGTTCAGATCGGCGATAGCTAAGTTGTCATTGCCGTACTCTGGAAGTCTTGTGCGGGATCCTGGGAGGGCCCCAACAGAGCAGAAATTTATCTCACTGGTTGCTGCGTACAACATACAATTACGCATTGTCCAAAAATTAGCAATAGGCCTATAAATAGTCAAGCTTGGTCAGTATGACATCCCCCCCTCGTACTCCCAGTATTCTGAGAAAGAGATTTTGAGACCCCTTTTCCAGCCTAGCAGATGGGAAATTTCAGCCATTGGAGAGAGAGCCCTTTCCTCTTTTCTGCCTGTGGAGCCAAAGAGGGAATATTCTCTGCACGCTGCGCCGGATTAAGCGATTGCCGTTTCCCTTCCAAACCACTGTCAAGAAGATAAGCCGCAGGGTCCGATCCAAAATATTCCCTTTTATTCTTCAGAACTGGAAGAGTATCTGAAGAAGTGAGGAGTGACTCACAAAAGCTCCGACCCCGCCACGTGTTTCGTTAGTCTTTAAGGCGCTCCTGGACTCTTGCTTCCTTTCTACTGTCACAGTCTCGATGGAGACGAGTGTCCACAGCTCCAAGCAGGGTCCGTGGCTCAGTGGCAGAGTGTCTGCTCGGCATGCGGAAGGTTCCTGGTTCAATCCCTGGCATCTCCATTTATGAGGATCAGGTAACAGGTGATACGAAAGAGCTCCGAGACCCCGTAGAAGACAATAATACCTTTGACAGACCAGTGGCCTGATCCGGTATAAAGCAGGCTCATGTGTAGTGTTACCAACTCTGGGTTCAGAAATGATGCACAGATCTGTGCCCTGTGTGACCCCTTGGCCGAATTGGAATCACCCAGTCAGAGTCCAATGAGTTAGATAAATATCTGTTTATTGCAAGAAACAGGAAATACAGGGCTGAGTACCTTACAGCAGCAACACCAAGCTGTATTCCGCCTTAACCAGGAAGGGCAGAGGGTCTTATACCCCAATTGACATCACCTATAATTTACACATTCAAGAACCTTTAATTGGTACCAAGCAGTTAACATCATAAAAGCATCATTTGACTCTAAACCTTAGTACTCGCGTTCTCCCTTAGTACGGGGAGTGGCGCCCCCGGTGGCCGTAGTGCCAGGTGTAACGTCAAGGGGCAACTAGATGGGTGGTCCCGGTGGCCGGAGAGGTTGCAGCAAAAAGGGGGGTAGAGAAGGGCCTCAGACCGGCAGGGGACGGGGTTTAAGAGCACCCCGTAGGTCCCTCTGCCCACACGCTGTTCCCGTTTCCCTCTCTCTCGTCCTTCACTTCTTGGGTCACTTTCTCTCTCTCTCATCATCTGCATGTGCTTCCTCCCCGGCCCCTCTTGTACCCGCCTTTTATTCCTTCCTCTCCCTCCCCGGGACCGCCCCTCTGCTCCCGGGGCCTGGCCCCCCCTTTTAAGTGTAGACGCTGGTGGGGCTTTCCCCGGTCGGGCGTGTGTATGCCGGCAGCAGTCTTGGCGGCCTTTGGGCCACGCCGCCAGCACCGCGTTGCTGCTCCGTCCCTTCGGGAAGGGCCCTCGGCCTCCGTACCGCCCCCACTTGCTCCTGTTCCCTCGGCGGTCTCGTCGAGCCCCGTTCTCGTTTTCTAGCTCGGCCGGGGCTGGGCGCCTTGCACGATCCCGCGCCTCCTCTCTCTCTCGTCGGACAACTGGTCTGCGCCAGTTCTTCAAGACGCGCTCCCACTGTTAAGCCGGGTCGCGGCGTCTCTCCCGGGCTCGTCGGGGTTCCAGGGGTCTGTAGGCTGTCATCGTCGGGGTCCGCAACCCCTGGAGCGGGACACCTTACTATTGGTCTCTCCTGATTGCATTTGTTTCTCTGGCCTTCAGAACAACGGGGAACATCAGAGAACACTGGGGCCCCTCTCTGGCCTCACTTATGGAGAGCTAGCTGATAAGGGCTGCGATTCACGTTGCCCTTAGCTCTTGGTGTCCTTGCAACATCTAAATAGCATTCCATTCTATTGCACCTGAATCTATTACGATTAAACTTTTGAAGGCACAGTGACAGCTGTCAGTGTATATATATCAAGGAGTGTCAGAAATCACTTTCAGAAATCACATTCTTTCCCCCTTGTCCTACAGAAATACCTGGAGATTTGAGGGTGGAGCCTGGGAGAGTGGCGTTCAGGGAGGGGAGGGAACCTGGTAGAGTTTTAATGCCACGCAGTCCACCTTCTGGAGCAGCCGTTTTCTCCGAGAGAAGTGGAATGTCCGTTTTAAACAAATAAACACATCAGTGATTTATGTCGTCTGGAGAACAGTTGTTACTCCAGGAAGGTCTCCAGCCCCCACCTGGAAGTTAAACAAACCGGTACTTACAGAGTATAAGCATAAAAAAACCCAAGCCAACTGTGCATAATAGTATAGAAAATAACCTCTGTTGAATCAAGAGTGTACAATTCCACTGCATAGTGGTTGGATGTTCATACAGTCACAAAGACATCAATTTCATATGTCCATATCAGGTACAAACACCATTATCCATATCCCTCAAAGTCCAATGGATGAAACCGGCAAAGCTTGTCTTGAATGCAAGATCCACAATACATGATTTCAAAGTAGAATCGGGAATTCATGAAGCATTTCCTTCCAACGAGCATGCTAGCTAATTAGTTGTCTCATTTCACACCACAGCTTTTACAAAGAAAGGTCTACATTCCATGATTCTCTATAATACTCTCAGAAGGGAACTCTCCATAAATTTCTTGTGTGATGCAATTGATGTATATGGATAATGGTGTTTGTACCAGATATGGACATATGAAATGGATGTCTTTGTGACTGTATTAACATACAACCACTATACCAGGGGTGTCAAACATGCGGCCCGGGGGCCGGATCAGGTCCCCGGAGGGCTTCTATCAGACCTGCAGTGGAACTGGCTGTCTTCTGCTTCTTCTTCCAGTTCTGCTGCTGCTGTGATGGACCTCTGCTCCAGATGTTTATCCAGTTCCCTCTTGAAGCCGTCCATGCTCGTAGCCGCCACCACCTCCTGTGGCAGTGAATTCCATGTGTTAATCACTCTTTGGGTGAAGAAGTCCTTCCTTTTATCTATTCTAACCCGACTGCTCAGCAATTTCATGGAGTGCCCACGAGTTCTTGTCTTGTGAGAAAGGGAGAAAAGGACTTCTTTCTCAACCTGCTCTATCCCATGCATAATCTTGTAAACCTCGATCATGTCACCCCTCAGCCGTCGTTTCTCCAAGCTCAAGAGCCCCAAGCGCTTTAACCTTTCTTCATAGGGAAAGTGTTCCAACCCTTTTATCATTCTAGCTGCCCTTTTCTGCACTTTTTCCAATGCTATGTTAATACAGTCACAAAGACATCGATTTCATATGTCCGTATCGGGTACAAACACCTTTATCCATAAACATCAAAGTCCAGTGGATGAAACAGGAAAAGCTTGTCCAGATGCAAGATCCACAATAGATGGTTTCAAAGTCGAATCAGGAATTCATGAAGCATTTCCTCCCAAAACGAGCATGCTAGCTAATTAGTTGTCTCGTTTCACTTCGCAGTGTTTTCAAAGAAAGATCCACAGTTCCATGATTCTCTGTAACAATCTCAGAAGAGAACTCTCCATAAATTTCCTGTGTGATGCAATTTCATGCTGCGTGGAGGGTTCTTGATTCAACTGAGGTTATTTTCTGTACTGTTATACACAGCCATGTTGGTTCTTTTGACCCACCTGGAAGCTGGAAACCCTTTTCATGTGTTCAAGACTGGGTTTGCAGATTAATGTTAATCTTGTGAGCTACTGGGAGCAGACTGGTCCTGAATTGAATAGGAAAGTCTACAGAGGGCCACGGGGCTGTAGTGACCACGATCCAATTGGACCGTGGCAGGGATTGCTACTTCGCTCCAGCTGTGGCAGCAGTAGTGGGTGTGTCAGCTCACCTGTCACTTCCTCCTGCCTCTGTCTCAAAAACCACCTGTGAGTAATTCCAGAGGGGCAGACATGTTAGTCTTTTCTGCAGAACTGGGGTCAGATGAAACCTAGAAAAAGTGGTTTCCGGGACAAGCTTTTCTGGAGTCAGGGCTCACTTCATCAGATAACCGACATGAACATCCATAAGAACATAAGCGAAGCCATGTTGGATCAGGCCACTGGCCCATCCAGTCCAACACTCTGTGTCACACAGTGGCCAAACCCCAGGTGCCCTCAGGAGGTCCACCACCAGGACCAGAACTCCAGAAGGCCTCCCATTGTGGGCCCCCAAGCTCCAAGAATACAGAGCATCACTGCCCGAGACATTGGGTGATTTCCCACAAGTGCTGCTCCGCGCTCACTCCTCC